GTTGAGCCTTAGTAGGTTGTCTAGGTGTATGCTCAACGTTTTTATCCTTAGATTCATTTTTATCAAAACCTATTCCTTCCTTAGAAAAATGCATAGTGTCTAGGAGTAAATTGAGATCCTTGTGTGGTGTATTAAACTTCTTAACCGTACTCTCAAGTTTTGCAACTTTTTCTTTTAAAGCTTTGCAAGATTCACATTCACTTGAAGAGCTTTCCGATTTGTCAGCACTTCTTTTACCATAAAATTTATTTTCTTGTTTCAACTTTTCATTATCTTTTTCCAGTTTTTCAAAATCATTTTCAAGAGTTGAAAGACGTTTCTTTAATGATTTGTTGGTTTTAGAAGCGCTAACAAATTCATCATAAAGCTCTCGAAGAGCTTCTTGCATTTCTTCAAAAGTGTAAGAGTCGGAAGAAGGGGTACATACCTCTTGTACTTTGTTGACGTGGTCTTCGTGTGCCATGAGACAGAGGTTGGCGGCTTCTTCCTCTTCTTGATCCGTTGACTCATCCCCGGAGTCACCACCCCATGAGATATAGGCGCGTTGCTTTTTGAAGCCAGGTTTGTCCTTGCCGCTTTTGCCTTTTGGACACCTCGGCTTGATGTGGCCTATCTCACCACAGCCATAGCACTTTGGGGTACCGTCGTGCTTTCTTCCTTTGCGCTCAAATTCCTTCTTCATAAATTTGTGGAATTTCTTGATGACGAGTCCGAACTCGTTGTCATCATCGCTTGAGTCTTCTTCCACGGTCTTCTTGGTTGCTTTCAGTGTTATTCGCTTTTTATTTTGTTCATCCAAAGACGGAGTTAGAATATTAGATTCATAAGTTTTGAGGTTACCTCTTAGCCCGTCGATGGTAACATTGGAGACTCCGATGGATTCGTAGATTGCGTCAGCCTTTGATCTCCATTCGGGTGTGAGACTCCACAGGATTTTCCTCACAAGGTCCTTGTTGGTGTAAGTCTTCTTGAGTGCATGAAGGTCGTTGATGATCTTTGAGAACCGATCGAACATGTCATCGATCTTTTCGCCTTCCTTCATTCTGAACATCTCGTACTCCTGCGTTAGGAAGTCAATTTTGGCTTCCCGAACTTGGTCCGTACCTTCATATGTGACCTCCAGCTTGTCCCAATTTCTTTTGCAGTGGTGCAGCAAGAGATCTTGCGATAATCATCAGGATTGACGGCACAGTACAACATGTTGATTGCCTTGGCGTAGTTCTCCACCTTTTTGATGTCCTCGGCATCAAATTCGTCCTCGGTTTTTGGGACTGTGGTTTCTCCTACTTTCTTCATTGGGATTTGCTCTCCATTTTTGATGACCAACCATAATTGGAAGTTGGTGGAACGGATATAGATTCTCATCCGTTCCTTCCAATAGGAATAGTTGGTGCCATCAAAGAGTGGTGGCCTAGACGTAGACTGACCTTCTCCAATTCCTGCATAGAGATGTCTAGAAGAAGAACCCATGATCGCTTTACTCTCAAACGGTTAAGTTTGGACGCGAGTTAGGCTCTGATACCAATTGTTAGAATAATAGACCAACGCTAGAGGGGGGTGAATAGCGTTTGATCGTAGAAATCGCAGGAATTAAAAAATTAAAAGAGAAGTAAAGAGAAGAGTAAGAGCCACACCGAATTTTACCCTGATTCACCACAACTTGTGGCTAATCCAGCCTCCCGAGAGACTCTCTCGAGCTACACTACTATCTCGTTAAGCTTGCGAGTGCTTAACAAACCATTACAACTTGAGAGTTCGAGTTACACGAACCTCAACGAGTCCTTCAAAGGAAACGGCCCTTCCTTTGAATCTACCGAGAGAAATACTTTCTCTCAAAGTGTCTAAGAACACGAATACACTCAACAACGAGGCTCTCTTATAGAGTAGATTATGAGTAACCTAAGTACGCTCAAGAACACAACACAAGCTTCACAAAAATGGCTCTAAAAAGCTATGGAAAAGAGTGTTGTTTGAATGCAATGAAAGTATGAATATTGTGAAGTGAATTGATGTGTAAAGCAGACCCAAACACCCCTTTTTATAGTGCCAAAATAGGCTCCAACGGATCAAAACATTTAAGGGGTGATTGACACAATTTGTGGGATTTGATTAAATTTGGATTTGCTGAAATTCACCCAGACAGCGCTGTCCTAGGCTTGAACATCGCTGTTCTTAGGCTAGCGTTTTGAAAATTGGGAAGCAACGGTCATGCCAACAGCGATGTCCAATACTCCTACAAGCGACAAAACCGACAACTGAAGGTTTGTTCCTTTCAAAATCGGAATTTAAGGAAGGTTGCCAGTCCAGGAATGTAGCGACAAGTTATGAACTTGTAGCGACAAATCCAGACTGAAACTTCCACCTCAAAACCGGACTGTCGCGACAACGACCCAGTTGTAGCGACAGGACTTTGAAAGTGCCAATGCACTATATTTTTTGGCTTAGGTTGGACAGCGCTGTAGGGTAGCCTACATCGCTGTTCCAGAAGTTTCTGGAAATCCAACCTTGGCTCAACATCGATGTCTAGTGTGCAACATCGCTGTTGGAAGACTTAACGCCAAACTATGGTTTTCAGCTACTCAAGCAAGACAGCGCTGTTGGGTGCACCAACATCGTTGTTGGGCTGGTTTAGCCAGACCCATGGTTGGTTTAGTCATGCCGTTAGCCGATGTTAAAAACGTAAGTTCTCCAAAATAAAAACTAAGTGTTGAAAACATTTGTTTATTGCATTTTGCTAAGAAATCAAGTGAAACAACTCAAAAACCACGTCATTTAGTTGAAAACCACGGCTAACCAAGTTTGTGTCATTTTGCATGGTTTTCACTAAACGACCATAAACGAAAGGTGGTTTTTGAAGCGTTTTTGTTGGAGAACTGTTTAAATATGCCCAGAAGCAAAAACCAATCATAAAAAGTTAAAAACCACTTGGTTGGTTTGGATGCCCAAAAACCAATGCCGAAAGCCGAACGCCGGTTTCTGAAAGCCGACACCGGATGACTTGGTTTTTGGTTTGGGCGAACTCCAAGTGTTTTTAGCCAGGTTTAAAATTTATGAAAAACATTTTTGAATTTGAAAAAAGGGTTTTGATGAATTGAGCCTAGAGAGCCAAGATTTGGAAGTTTGTGCCGGTCTTGATCACATTAAGACCGACTCGATGCAATTCTAATTCTTTGTTCTTGATTCTTGGTTCTTGGTTCACATGTCATCATGCCGTGTTTCTTCGCCTTGGTTTTGCTCACTTTAGCCTTGTTGTGTCATGGCGGTTTGGCATTATAAAAACCTGTCATAAAAACGAACACAGTTTAGTACGACGTAGGCGTAAACCCGTGTTCCAACAAGACGGAGGAGATCGCGACATTGTGTGGGGTTGTTTTGATTATCTTTTGATTTTCCATTAGACTCTAAACACTTGTGTTTGAACCCACATTTATATTCTCGTTAACTTTTACTTTAAGTTCTACATCGTTTTATTTTTTACTCCAAAAATATTTTTAACATGTAAATGATTTGATTTTTCAATTATTATCATTATTTTTGAATTATAAGATGTTAGTGTAGCAAATTGCTAGCTCCGGTCTGCTTAACCATGTGAATCAGATTTTGTGAGTTGGGGTGTTACGAGTTGGTATCAGAGAAAACGATTTCCAGATCAAAATGATTTTTAAGCCCGCACCCGCACTCTTGACGTACTTTGCACTCTGAGAGTTAAATTACTATACCTTGTGGATTATAAACTTTATGTGACAACATAAGTAAATTACTCTATAGGATGAGACAGAATACGAGCTTTAATGATAATGGTAGACACAATGATCATGGAATCCACACTAAGGGCTTAAGTTATACCCCTCCGCAAGTGGAGAACTCTGAGTAAGGTTTGCTGCGAGACCCACCACAAGACGTAAAAGGCACAACACCCATGATCGACCAATTGTTGCTGAACTTGCTTCTACAAATAGCTACTATGATTGCTCACTAAGCACCATCGTCGCCTCCTCCTCCACCAGCTCCGCAGATGACCGTGGATAAGTTAATGAAGAATGGCGCCACAGAGTTTCGTGTTGAGAACTTGGGTGAGCCACTTATAGCCATTGAGTGGTCAAAAAAAAATCAACATGGTGTTTGAAAGTCTAGATGTGCACTTAGACGACCAAACTTTCCTTGCTACATATTTTCTCAAAAGAAAGGCATACAAATGGTGGGAACACATGAAAGACGGCCTGCCCCAATCACGTACCTGGCTAGTGTTCACATGTGTCTTTGAGATAAAGTATGTGCCTCCCCATTTTCGTGAAACGAGGAGGGGAGAATTCGTGAAGCGGATGCAGGAAGACATGCGAGTACTTGAGTTTAATCAACTCATTGATGATCTGGTTTATTTTTTGGGCGACCTGGTCTAGCCTGTGGAGGAGTGTGTCTCGATTTTCTTTGAGATGTTTTGTCCTAATTTTGGGAAGAATGTGATGATTGTTCCGCACAATGACGTCAACCTTGCCTTTTCTAGAATCCTGGATTCGAATATGAATGCATCCAAGAGGAGGAACTACTGAAGAAGAACGAGTCTGTGATGTTGACACCATCTTTGAGTGTCCGTCCTAGTATGGAGAGGCCCACCATGGGACCCAATCAGAACTCTCAGCACATGAAGATGAAATATGGTCCCTTGTACTCTACACCCTTGGTTGGCGAATGGGAGTGGCACCACCTTGTTCCTGTGCCGCCTAGCACTTAGGGAGTGTCGCCTAGCACTCAGACTATGCATGGGATGTGGATAGCCTGGTCATATTCGCCAACCTCGTCCGCCTGCACCCACTCAGATCCTGAGATCGCCCTCACGCAGGGTCGACCCATACACACCCTCAGAAGCAAGAGCGTGCCATAACATGTATCTATGTTATGCAATAGACCTGTGCAAATAAGGGCCGGCCCGTCCAGCCCGCCCAGCCCGCCCTTTAAAAAAGATGGATATGGGCATGCTTTAATACCCATATGGGCGGGTCGGCCCGAGCCCGAATTGTATCTGGGCGGATATGGAACCTACATTTAGCCCGTCCGGGCCAGCAGGCCCGCCCATATTATCAACTACATTTACTATATGAATTACCTAGTCCATTTACAATGATAAGTTCTCACTCATAACTCTCTACAAAAAATAGCCCAAATTATCTTAGCCCATGCTTAATGAATTTAGCCCAAATTATCTAACCATAAAATCATAAATGAATAAGTAATAAAGGAAATAAAAGACGTGGAGTTGTGAGTTGCTGGAAGCGGCAATTAGCTTCTGGATTTGGGAGCCGCTGCATCAAGAAGAGCAAGAGACCTCCACTACATCAAATTCAACTCGAAGATCAAGAAGACTCGCTCCAAATTTGGAAGAGACAGCTGTTGCATCCATATTCCAAATCTAATTTTTTCTTGAATCTTTCAAATCAATCTCATGGAACCTCCTCCATCTATAATAAGGTGAGAATCATATATACTCATTCAATAAATTTTTCATGATTTATCACTGATTTCTTCATCTTAGGTATATTTTTAATTTCTCTTTTATAGAGTATTTTTTTGCCCTGTTCCAAATTGAAAAATACAGATTTATTTCCCTCTTTGCCTTATTCCAAAAAAATTTTCTTCATTCCATTTTGCTTTTCACTTTTTAAAATTTATGTTTTGATGTATTCACTTTTAGAAAGAGATTCAATAGAGGTACAAAATGGCCATGCATCTCCCGAAGAGCTTTGTGGTAGTGGGAGCACAACAAAATGCAACTTGCAGCTCAAAGGGAAAAAAATTAATTTCTGATGTTTGGCAGGATATGGATAGAGAAGTTTTGGGAAGTGGGAACATTCGTGCAACTTGTCATCACTGTCATAAGGTCTTTACTGCTAATAGTACTAGTGGCACATCTCATCTTAAAAGACATATTGATCGTTGTTCTGCACGTAAGTATCGTGATTTAAAAAACTTTTGCATTAGTAATAGTGTGACAGTTGGACCAGAGACTAGTACAAATTTGTCACTAGACAAACCTTTACCTAGTTTGGATGCAATTCGTGAGGCTATGTGTGTATATTATGCTTCTTGTGCACAACCATTTAGTATGGTGGAGTCTCCAGGATTTAAGTATTTTATGAGTGTTGTTGCCCCTCATTTCCATCAAATAAGTAGGACTACAATTCAGAGAGATATATTGAGTCAATATAAGAAGCATAAGCTTATTGTTCTTGAAGAGTTGCAAAGTGCTCCAGGCCGTATAAGTTTCACTACGGATAACTGGAGGAGTGAACATACGGGTGATGAGTTTATGTGCATAACTGCACATTGGATTGATAGACAATGGAAACTACAAAAGAGAATCATAAAATTTGGTGCTTTATCTCCTTCACTTGATGGTGCTTCTCTTGCTGATGAGGTTTTACTGAGTTTGGGTGATTGAAAAATATCTTATAAGGTATTTTGTTTTACAGTCGATAATGCATCCTATAATGACACTATGATTTCTTCTCTTAAAAGGCACTTGTTAAGGAAAAATTCTTTGATGTTGCGAGGGGATTTTTTCACATCTGGTGCTCTTGCCACATTATTAATTTGATTGTGCAGGCTGGTTTGAAATTGATTGATGTTGTTGTCATTAAGATACGGAAGATTGTGTCACATTTGAGACATTCCATGCCTAAAAAAAAGTTCTACGAGATTGCTTCCACTAATTTTGGGTTAAATACTACCAAGAAGTTGCGTTTAGACATGCCCATTAGATGGAATTCTACTTTCACCATGTTAGATCGGTTTATATATTTTCGTGATGCTATTGATAGTTTTGTTAATAAGAACTTAGATATGAAGGACTATGCTCTAAGTGAAGAAGAGTGGTCAAAAGTATCTTTGCTTAAGAAGTTCTTGCAAGTATTTTATGATGTAACCAATGAATTTTCAGCTTCTAACTCTCCAACCTCGAATCTATACTTTTGTGGAGTGTGGAAAATTCATAGGATGCTACTTAAGGTAGAAGCTGGCCCTCCTAGTATTTTATCTACAATGGTGGATAAAATGGAAATTAAGTTTGATAAGTATTGGGAGGATTACAATCTCATTCTTTCATGTGCTTCAGTTTTAGATCCTCGTTTAAAACTAGATGGAGTTGGATTTTTGTACAAGAAGCTGTATGGAGAAGAATATGGTAAGATTATGGTGGCTAACATTAAGAGTACTCTAGTTGAATTGCTTGATGAGTATAGTTCCAAGTCTCTTGAGTCTTGTGAAACTCCAACTGAGTTTGGGGAAAATATGTTGGCTAATCGTTCCAGATCTGAAGTTGTATTTAATAGCAAATCAGATGATGAAGATTTGTATCAATTTATGAGCAAGAAAAGGAGGACAGAAACTAAGTCTGAGCTAGATCTTTATTTGGAGGAAAAACCACTTAATATGAAAGAAGACCTTAATATTTTACAATATTGGAAGCGAAATGCAAATAGATTAGTCACTATATAAGCATTGGCTCGTGATCTATTAAGTGTTCCTATCTCTACAGTTCCTTCCGAATCTGCATTTAGCTTGAGTAAAAAACAATAAGCCCGTGTAGAAGTTCTCTTTCCCCAACAACAGTCGAGGCCCTTTCATTTTATGAAGATTGGTTACGTGCACAAGGATTTGAACCAGGTAGACTCTAATTTTCTGTCAATCAAGCTTTCAATTGCTTTCTTTTATTTTAGAATATGATGTTTTGTTTGTATGTTGCAAGGTCCAACAAGTATGTTTAAGTCTTGCTATGTGTTAATGAGTGAAAGTGATGAGGAATATGCTGATACCCAAACACAATAATATGCTATTTTATTGGTAACTTATTAACTCTTTCTTCTATTTCCTTTTGTTGTAAAGTACAGTACTACTGCTATTAATTATTTGTGGTATGGCTTTTAGGTTTCTCCTCTTGGAAGGCAAGTTTGTATGCAGTGTGTTACCAGTACTACTTAAGCTTGATGATGCAGTTTCCTCAATTTAAAAATATGTAATGCTGGCCTCAAGAGACTCCATTGCCACTTCCATCAACTTTCATTAATTAAGTCCAAAGAGCTATTTTGTTGCTTGCCTTGATATGAACAAACAAAAAACTTAAATTTGTCTTATATTTATTTTTAGTATTGAACCTAGACTTTGTTTCTTTAGTTACAGTGGGGTGGGTTTATCTACTGTTGGTGACTTCATCTTAAACATTGATTTCTTTTTTCAATATTCTTTTTATGTTTTTTCCAGGCCGGGCGGCCCGGTGGACAGTTCGGCCCGCTAAAGTGGGCGGGTATGGGTAAAGAGTTTAGCCCATTAGATCCGGGCCGGGTCAGGCCCGCCCATGTAAATGGGCTAATAATTTGTATTAAGCCCGGCTGAGATCCGGCCCGGATACTTATTTGCACAGGTCTATTATGCAAGGATGCACTAACAAGGACCCTAATATCATCATGGGTATGTGTACTAATATGCCTGCTCGTAGTGATCCAAGTTCTACCCTATCATACTTCTATGTCGATGCTTGAATTATCTGATGTCCCGAAAAGTAATTTGGAATATCTTATAGTGGTGACCAACCCGCTTTAGCACTATTTTTATTTACATCATATTTTTCTTAGATGTAACACCCTGACTCGCTCAAAACTATTCACATAGATTAACAGACCAAAGCTGTAGCAATTTAGTAAAGTAACATCACATAATTTGAAAAGTAATAATAATGATAGTATAATTTAAAAATCATTAAAGCATAATTTTCATAACATGATAAAAAGAGTTTTCGGAGTAGTAATTAAAACACCGTTGAAGCTAAAATGAAAGTCAATAGAATTTCAAGCGTGGGTTCAAGCCCCAAATAAAGTTCAAATGGGAAATAATAAGATAATGAAAATTGAAAAATATCCCTACACCACGCCATTATCTCCTCCGTCTCAGTATCCTCCGGTATTGGCTCCATTGTTTGGCTTACCTACACAAAGTCACATAACAAAGGAAACTACATGCGTAGTGGAACCGCTGAGTGGTACCACAACGTAGACTTTAAACAGTTCAAAGAATAATCCATATACACATAATCACTTAAAAAATTGTCATTAATATCATTGAGTCAAATCATTAAAAGTCAATATCCTTATCTCCTCAAAATCATTCATATTCACCAATTAAGGTTAAGTCCCTATTTTACTTCCTTTATCCTTTTTACTTAATTTATCCTTTAATCCTCTCTTTCACATAGAGTCATTCTCTATAGAGAAAGACTCGATAAGACTTCCCTTGTCTGAGTCTAGGTCTAAGTGTCCTTCTCTTTAGCTTGAAAAATTGGTCCATGGCCTTCCTTAGTTTGGGTATAAATACTCTTCTTATTCCAAACACATGGGTTGAGTGATCCCAGTCACTTGATTAGTTCAAAGACCTAATGTACATACATACTCAACTCCAAATATCACCCACATCTATACGCTTAAATATTATACTTTAGTATTAGAGATAATACTAAATTATCTAAAAAAAACTAACAGCTAGAAAATATGGATTAAATAGAACAACTTGTTGCTTCAGAAGTGGGGGGTTTAAAACCGTCGGCCGTTAGGGTTCACAGTTGACTATTGGGTCATCGTCTTAGGGAGTTCGTGATGGTTGACCATTCAGGAACACGACCTACCATTGGGTCGCTGCTGATCTTCATCCTTCGACGTGAATAGTATAGACGGTCTGTGGTGGAACTGTGGAAGACCATTGTTTGTCCATAGTCGAGCGTCGGCAGTGCACTGGCAAGCTCCTTCAGGCGTCCATTCGGTGCACCGTCCCACTGGATGGTCAACTGTGTCGGGCGCATTTGTCTGCTCTGGATGGTCAACTGTGTCGGGCGCATTTGTCTTCAATTGGTGTTGCCAATATCCTGTCACCCACTCCCACCATCCCACAACATCTTCAATCAAACAACCTAGCACAAATTCGGGTGACATAATTCTGGCGAGAAATTCCGGAAAACATTCTAGCGACAATCCCACAGCATCTTCAGGGAGACATAATTCTGGCGAGCACCCTTTCAGACTCAATTCGAGCATCTTGTTCTCGCTGATAAAAAATCAAAGGAGGTCGGAAGAAGATGAAGAAGACTTGAAGAAGATCCTTCGTCTTTCGTAAAATCCTTCACAGATCTGAAATAGATTTCTCAAATCTGGAGAAGAAAAGAGAGGAGAAGATGGAAAGAAGAAACGAGAGCTACCAGATTGGAAGGGAGATGGTTAGAGGAAGAAGAGGAGAAGAAAAAACAGAAAAAAAGATGAAAAAAGGGTGGGTGGAACAAAATCAGAAGGGAGAAAACATAATTGAAAGAAGAAGAAGAAGAAAAAGAAGAAATGAAAAGAATTAGGGAGAAAAGAAATGGAAGAAGAAGAAGAGAGAAAAAAGAAAGAAAAACAGAAGAGTGGGTGAATCAGAAAACGAAGAAGATTGGGGGAATCAAAAGGAGAGGAAAAAAGAAAAAAGAGAGAAGAAAGAAGAAAGAGAAGTGGGTAGGATGTGGCAAGAGGAAGAAGAAAAAGAAAGGAAAGAGAGTGGATGGATAGGGGTAATTAAGTCTTTTTGCTATAAAAAGTTTCCAAAAAAGGAAATGGGAAGTTTATTTGTGGACGGACGAAAAAGGAAAGTGGAAAGTTTATTTATGGACGGAGGGAGTATAATGTTTGACTTGAGTCTAGGGTATAGACCTTAACTTTGAAGAGAAAAATGACAATGATCGTAACACCTCAACGTACGGTCACTGAATGGTTGTCACTATCTACGTCAAGTTTTTCTTATCTTGAGTGGAGAGTGGAGGGTATGGGGTCATTTTATGGAAAATTTTAGAGAAGGTTATGGGAGGAAGGATCAAGACATCTTCCTCCAACATTATAGTTAGCTACAATTCAAGAGAGGAGATGGAGAGGTGATATAAATGTAAGGTAACTACAAGAGGTAGGGTTTAGGGACCAAGAAATATGCAAGAATTTTGCTAGTTTGGGAAGGGAATATTTTTAAGTTGGTTGATTTGATTTCTCCAGATTTGATAAAGTCCTTGTTCTAGAATAAATAGTTTATCTATTTGAATTTTGGGTTGTTTTCTAAACAAAGTGCAATTTTGAAATTGATTGCATTTTTTAACGCGAGATAACAAATACAATTTAACGTTGTATTAGAAATATTTTTCCTAATACTTTTATTTTCTAGGCCTCGCATGCCCACACAATCAAAATTAGTTATTTATTTTAATTAACTATTTTAGACTCGATTTTGTAGCATTATAGTAGATGTCCTTTGGTGTTTCAGGGAAAGGCCTTCACTGCTAATTTGATTGAATTACCATAAAATTAGTTTGATATTATCTTTCATATGAATTGGCTTCTGGAGCAAGGAGCTTTGATAGATTATGACTCGGTGACTGTTCGACTTAGAATTGATAATGGCGGCAACGTTATTGTGATTAGTGAGTTACTCCCTAAATCCCCCAAATTTATCCCTTTAATATAGGCTAAGCATTGAACGCGAAAGAAGTGTGAAGCTTTGTGTAATGTCCATGATGTGCGGAAGGATCCATTCTTGGATGTTTTCCCTGCTGATTGTCTAATCTACGTCCTCCGGAACAGGTAGAGTTATTGATTGATCTTGTTCCTAGAATGGATCCTATATCCTCTACACTTTATCAGATGGTACTAACAGAGATGAATGAACTGAAGGTGCAACTGCATGAACTAGTTTATTGCCTCGAGGACATCCTGTCTTTTTCGTTTGCAAGAAAGAAGGTTTCATGAGATTATGCATCGACTACCGACAAGTCAACAAGATGATGGTAAAGAAATGTTACCCTCTAATGAATATCGAGGATTTGTTCGACTAGCTTTAAGGAGAAACTGTGTTCTCAAAGATTGATCTCTGATCTAGATACCATAAACTTCTAGTTCGGAGAAGACGTTCCTAAGACAACTTTTTGTAGTCGATGTGGGTATTACGAGTTCACAGT